GGAACTTTACACACTACAGTTTCAAAGTTGCCTGTGGACAACAATCTTTGTCAATTTGTTGATCCTTTCAAAACCTGGTCAGTTGATTGAATTCTCTGTGGATTTTTATGCAGGGTTTTCAGAAGATAAGCACAGACATGAACACCATTAAAGTGTATTGTGTTTTTAAATATATACTTACACTCTGGGAGCACATGGATCTGGATCTTAGCTGACACTTTTCCACCTTTGTAGATGGCAGACAGAAGTATAAAGGTTGGGAGAAAGGAGACATCAACAGGGGGCATTCTTTTATGCAAAAACACAATGCCCTTCATCATAGCTAAAGTAGAGTCTTTCTTATCAGCAGCCGGGCTTATGCTGAAAGGTCTGCAATAACAATGTTAGAGATTTGACGTAAGCACCTGGAACATTTTTAATTCGTGCCTTCAGATGAAAGATCGTTCAATGATGTGAGCAGCACCTTGTCCTGTTCTTTGTAATTTAGTGCCCTCTCCCATTAGTGGTTGTTATCTAGTCATGCCACATATTTGTATTTACTGTATTTAGCACAGATAGAATAGAACATTGTTTGTTGGACAGAAAAGAGAGATTGAAAAATCATTTTGAGCAAAATGCTATATGCCCCAGGCTTGAATAAGTGATCATTTAACCAGCTGAACCCAATGAAAGTCATTTGCAGTTATTCTTCTCAGGTTCATACTTTCGGAAGCATTTAACGTCCATAAACGAGACCCATATAATTAAAATCAGCAGGACTTGGCCTTTCAAAACATGCTGCCGGCTTTGTTCTGCGGCCGTGATTTAAAACTGTTCAAACCCTGTACTTGATATTAGGCTATAATATCCATATTTGCACTATAGAGAAAATTTGATTTTTGCTTTTAATAGTATGGACTAGTATCACCCAGTTAGGCTGCAAATTAACACCACGAGGCTGCTACAAAAAAACCTTCTGCCATGGCTTCACAATCCTCTAAATCCTCTCTTTTTCCTATACTTTTTCATAATGTCCCTACTTGAAAGACATAGTTTTGCATGTAAGCTCCTATATTAATCAGCTGCACCATCATATGGACAATGAAATCTGGGGACATGATTAAGAGCTTTATCTCCATGGCAACAGTGTTTAATTTTCAATAGAGAAAATGCAAAGCAAGGACACATGAGTATGCGACATATCACATATTCAGGGAGAAAGGAAGAAAAAAGTGAGTCTGTCCAGCTCTTACCATGCTTTTATCCAACCTGAGAATTCCAACCGAGTGGGCGAGTGAAAGACAAAGACAGGGCAAGACAAGTGTGAGCTAATGACACAGGAAGGGACAACCTGTGGGAAAGAGTCAGTGAGAGACTCCACATCAGCTCAGTGACAGTGGATGAGTGACATTGAAACTGAGTGAAAAGGGCCAAGTGTGACTTACTGAGGAGAGATCTCATGTCGTCGTGAGAGGCAGAGGGATAAAAACAGATGATGGAAAAAAAGAGAAACTTGGGGCAGATGAGCTGTATATCATCGTATGTGCATGTTCAAAGATAAAATTAAGAGGGAAAGGTATGAACACACTCCATACTTACAACCTGCTTAGATATAGGGTAAGGAAGTAGGACACACTGTATGACTTGGTGATTTGTTGACTGGTTAAATAAAGTAGTCAATAAACAGGAATAGAAAACAAATCGGATTAATTTAAATTAAAATAGATAGATCTCCAATCTCCAATCATAATTTGATAATTCATTCTACATATAGTAGCACCAGTTGTTTGTCATATACTTACAGTAATAAACTGTCAAATAAACTGGGATCTGAGGAGTGCAGTTTGGTATCATGAATAATTTTGACAAACAGCAGCACTGACAGCACTGATGGACTTATATATTCTGAGCTGTGTCCAAACCATTATCTCTTTAGATTGTTTTAATTTGTTGATGAGCTGACTGGATCCTTATAAACTCACTGCCACCAAACATGCTTTGAAAAGTTAATTTGATTTGAAAGCAGTCAGCATTGTCTCAAGGAAAGAGATGTTTAGTTTTGACTGGGAACAACTGGTAATCCAGAACCAGCCGATCTGATAGGTCTGCAGGGTTTGTACTCGGTCATGTGATCTGATCTTGGACCTAAAGATACTTAGTGATTACTTACTGACGGAGTCATTTATGGACAAGCAATATCATTTAGAATTTTTGAAGAAACTGGTTGCCCATGTTGTGATCTGAGAACTGGAGTTATATGAGCGTTTTTGGTCCTTGTTACAACCCTGGCAGCAGCCTTCTGGGTCAGCTGAAGCTGTCTGCCTGGGAACAGTTCATTGCGGTATTCCAGCTGAAGCTGTCTGCCTGGGAACAGTTCATTGCGGTATTCCAGCCTGCTAGAGATAAATGCATGTACAAATCTCTCTATATCATGTTTTGACATCATCCGTGTGATATTTTTAAGGTGGTAGAAGTCTGATTTTGATTAATTTAATGTGGCTAAATTTAGGTCAGAATCCAGGATCACTGAGGTTTCAAGCTTGATATTTAATCTTGAAGGACAAATGATTCTTTCTTTACTGGTCACAAAGACAGTGACTTAAGTTTTGTTCTTTCTTGAAACATCCAGCTACTAATTTGTTTAATGCACTGTCCCAAGGAGTCTTTTGAACTGTATTCGTTTGGTGACACAGCTATATATATGTGTATGTCATCTGGGTATATGTAGTATGAAGCCTACACATTTTGAGTGGGATTTTCAGTGGGAGACTAACACGTAAAGATTAAACAACAGAGGTCCCAAAATCAACCCTTGCAGAACTCCACACACTTGTGGGAGGTGCACTGATGTGCAGCTACCAACTGATACACAATAGTCTCCATCTTGAAGGTAGGACTTAAAACAATTCAGGACCTTGTTAGAGAGACCAAACCAGTGTTAAAGTCTGTATATTAATATATTGTGATCAATTGTATAAAATGCAGCAGTAAGGTCCAATATCACAAGGATAGAGATTTTACTAATATCTATTCTAAGATTGATGTCATTCAGATCCTTGATAAGAGTAGTCTCGGTTCAGCTCCCTTTTCACCACAACAGTCTGGTACTACTTCCGCACTACTGCCGCTGCATCTGGCTGTCAGTCTCAAACTCATGAACAGGATCCAGAAATATTTTAACTCCTTCCCTTGAGACATCATCTCACTCCACACTTTTTCATCAGAGTACCGTTTCCTCAGACTCAAAGTAGGCTCCTTTCAGTCCTCAAGGACTAAAGGTGATTGTGTCTTTGCCATTGTGGCTTAGATATGGTCAGGTAATTTAATCCAGTGGTTCCCAACATAAAGGGAAGATAAATGAGGGGTTGTAAAATGATAAATAATTGGCTTCGAACAATTATATAGATAGCATCATCTAAGAAGTTTAGAGTGGACACCAGACACTGCTGTTTGGTAAGGGGGCACAATCCCAAAAGGTTTAAAATGATGCATATAACTCATCAGGTTTTTTAAATTTTTTTATGTAAAATCTTGAAGATTCTCTGTTTAGTTTTTGACCTCTAGCACTATGGAACTGTTTTACTGAGAGCGCAAGACATGCAGTGACTCATACACAATGGGGCCAATAGTGCAACACTATTCCACTGATAGAAGATATGTAACAATGTGCCACCAAAGGCAGGGAAGAAGACAGCAAGCTAGTAAACAAGGATGTGAGGTTTATGAGAAAGGAAATTCACTCTTTTGGTGAGTAAACAAAACTTATATTTGTTTACAAGAAAACTCCACAGGGCACCTTTAATGCCATGACATGTAACTGATATATAGCTGCAAAAAATAAGGAAGTATAAAGTATGAAATGGAAATACTCAAGTACAATGTTGAGGTACTTTATGTTACTTAAGTGCAGTAAAAGTATTTTCATCGCACTTAACCACTGCTTTTTGACCTTTTCAAAGTGCAAAACATGTAAAGGTCACTTGTAACTCTGTCTGAACAACAAGTGTGTTTGTTAATATCATCTCTCCAGGGCTCAACATGGCCGTAATAAACAATTAACATCTGAGCTCTTCATTGTTATTCAGGATCTTTTTTGGAAGGGCTTGTTCTGGAGATATCACCCATTTACTGATTCAATGGCAACATTACCCTGAGTATAATGTGTTCTATGACGCTACAGTGCAGCAGTAATTAAATTGTTTGTGCAGTGAACGCTGGGCAAACAGTTACATCTGTCAAACTGATGTTGTAAATAAGCACATGGTGGGAAATGACGTTCTTGGAGGTTTAGCAGGGCAAGTTGTACGAGGAAATGAATGAATTACGGTAAGCATATCATCGTAATTGCATTTGTGTTATTTCCCCGGAGTCCCTCGTTTGCCGTTGCTTCTCCCAAAATAACACAAATGAACAGGCTTACACACACACACAGTCAAAGACTAGATGTAAAGGTCCTGCATTCATAATTTGATTTAACTAAACACACTGAAAAAAGAGAGTATAGAGAATAAATAATAAATAATCACTATCCGCAAACTGTACACAAGTACCAAAAGAAATAGCCTTCTTAAAATTGGATACAGTATAACAGAGCAATGTTACACTGTGTTATGGAGTATTATTATTATTTAAACTACTTTATTCACTGTTGTTTTATAAGTGTATTATAAACAGGGCTGTAGCCAAGATTTCAGGAATACTGAAGGTCCCCTAAACAGTCATTTTAATCCCAACTACAATCTTTCTCCAAACTTAAGTTGTATGCCAAACAATATGCCAAAGTTTGCAAAGAGAACAGCTACTTTAAAAAAAGTTGATGGTGTGGGTTCAGGTTAACTTGACCCAGTAACAGTGGGTTGTTGTGACCCAGTCTTATTTTTATATTAATGTTGGGTTACTGGATCTGCCCTTCCCTTCTGTTGGGTGGTTCCACCCATTGGTACTGGCTAAAATTAGCCCAGTATTGCTTTGCTGCTATGTTGACCCCACACAGTATTTTTTCAGTGTGTTTAGTGTGAACTTCATTCCTCAGGATGCAGAGTGTCGCGGCTACTTGTCTTCAGCTGAAGAGAACAGCACATTTATCTGAAGGTAATACACTGATGCAGGTGTGGGTGCAGTGCTTCAAACTACTGTTCAATCTGTCTTTGTTCTGTCTTTGTTAGACAACTTGAGTGATGATCTTAAAAACTCTAGCTGTATGTAACTCAAGGTCCACTTACAAGCTTGCCATCTGCACTTTTATCTTTTCAACCTAAAAAATATTGCTCTTGTTTTCATGCGAAGAATATCAGGAAAATGGAGGCTACAGTCTGGAGTATGCAAACCTTTTTGATTTAGCTTAATGAGACCTTGGTACCACTTTCTAATTAATCACACTTTGAATAGAGTGGTAATTAATTATTATTTTTTTCTTTTTTCTTTTTTTGTTTTTTCAATTAATCTGTATTTAATCAGGCAGTCTTAGTGAGAGTAAAATCTATTTTCCAAGAAAGACCTGAGAACAAGAAACACACAATCAGACAAAAATTAAGGAATTAATTAATAACTAATCCTTTAAAGGACGTTTATAAGTTTTGTCCACTGACTACTGGCTTCTGTTCTGGAACAGAGGTCTGTCTTTCCCTCTGTGTGATTTAGGTCCGTCTGCCCCTCTGAGTGCCCGATCACCCACACTTGAAATCCATCTGCTCGTCAGTGGAGCTGAATATCAACCCCCCAGACCCAGTGCTTCCCCGAGTGCTTTGCTGCCATAGTGAGCTTGTTGCACTCTGTGGGGTTTTTAATCCATTAATAAGAATACGTTTTGGGTTGCCAGGTTGTGAAAAAAATCTTTACCCACAAGAATTTCAAGGGTAAACATAAGCCACGTAGATTTTTCAAATTGCTCTAATGGCTAATAATAACTGATCTATAAAGCCTTAGTGGTAAGGATCTAAGAATAACGGATGTGTTTTCTGGTGTGTAATGAGCACAAACTCTTCAAGGGTCCTTTTCTCTTTCCCTTTCTTAATCAGGTTGGTTCCACTGTGGTCTGTCTGGGACTGTGAGTCCCATCATCAGTGTGATCGTGATGCAGGAAATGATAACCAATATGCTCATACTTAACCCAGCTCATAAACCTTTTTATGAACCAACACTGCCATCTCCTGGCACAGAGTTAAACACCTCACAGACTCCCTGACATTGATGTTATTCACTCATTTGCTTGATTCGACCTCCACTTTGTGGCTCCTTCTCTCTCATCACATTTGTTGCACCTGGTAGGGCCAGGCAACTTATAACTTTATTCTTTTTATTAGTACATGGGGTTCGGTGAACTTCCACCATAGCTTAACTCTGTGCAGTCTTATCAGCCAGAATAATGGGGGAAAAAATCTACTAGTGGTTATAAACCAGTGGTGGAAGAAGTAACAAGTCAAAGTCCTGCTTTCGTAATCCTAAATACAGAGGAAGTGCCAGCAATATGTACTAAAAGTAGTAATGTAAAAGACATATTATCATTATATGTAAACAAATACATATTTATATAGATTAATACTTATCCATCAATGTGTAAGCAGTATATGAACTACTTTACATAGTTAAAAAATATTGATTATAGCCACTTTATGACTTCCTAAGGAAAAGAATCAAGCCCAGGATTTTTTATTTTTTAGCTGAACACATACATGCATGTTGTATAATGTCTTCCTTCCATCTCTTTAGTTAAATTGTTTGTGCAGTGAGCAAACAGTCATATCTGTCTAAATGCCTCAGCTCTCTCCTCTTCACTGTCCAGTAGAGGCTCAGCAGGATCAGTCCAGCCCCGAGGCCTGCGAGGCTCAAGCTAATCAGCACCTGTGTGTTTAGACAGAAGTGCTGATGAGTAAAACAATTATTTTGGTATTATCCATGAATCACTTTTTTAATCTGCTGGCTGCATAAAAAAAGATTTTTTATAATAAATTCATCAATAAGTAAAATGATCATTAGTGCATCATCACTTCCTGATTCAAGCTTTACAGTGTGAAGAAGAGCCGTCCTGTTGTCAGGCTGGTCTGAAGCAGTCTGATTTTCCTGGTTTTCAAAGTCCCACTGGGCCAGAGAGCTTTCATAGTCCAGATTGAGAACCCCAACAGGCATAACCCGGATCCCCCAGTAAACCCTCTTCACCCTGCGGGAGGTGGCATCCTGAACGTCACAGCGATAAGTACCTAAAAATTACATGACGATTGTATTTAAAAGATTTATTTTTAAATCTACCTAATGTACAAAATTCAGAGTCTAGGTAGTAGAGGTTTCTTTGTTTACCTGCATCCTCCTCCTTGACGGGGTCCAGAACCACTCGGTCCAGCAGAGGAGCATCCCAGCGAGTAAACAGAGAGTCATCAGAGCTGATTATTCCTCGGGCATAACGCCACGCCACCCTGAGACAAAAAAGGAAACATCACGTTGAACTCTATCGAAGAGCTGCCATAATCACGGGTTGTTCTACCTGAGGAGGAAATGAACTAAACCCAAGACCCAAACAGTTTCTGGGGCTGGGAAAATACACTGGCATACACTGATACAGTACAGAAGTGACTTTAAAGTATTCCTGCTTGTTTACAAGGCCCTAAATGATATGGCTCCTAAATATATTTATGACCTGCTCACTGGCCATAGCTCAACCAGATCATCAAGCATGTTTTGATTCCAGGTACATTACCTGGAATCAAAACTAAATCATGTGAAGGTGCATTTAGTCACTACATGGTGCTGTTCTCTGGAACAAACTGCCTGATGACCTGAGACTGGCTGCAACTGTGTCCTCTTTTAAAAGCCTCTTTTTTCTCAAGCTATTAGTGGTTACTTTAGGCTGAACACACTTCTACAAACAGTAAACATTAAAAAACTTTAAATTGTATTCTGCAGTGGGTATGAGACTCTATCCCGGCCAACATTAGAATTTCTGTTTCCATTGTTTGCAATCAAAAGGTCTCCCTCCACTCCTCCATCCTTACCTCCAGGAGAACCTCCCCACCGCCTCCATGACTTCTCCCAGACAGTCAATCTCCACTCTCTGTCCGGAAGTCACAGTCATCGTCCTGAGTCCACACTGCCACGACTCCAGACACTTCACCTTACGGGCACGACACTCCCCAGACACCTTTGATTGATTGATTATTGTTCTTATTGGAGCTGTTTTGTTACATTTCTACATTTTCTGTTGTCATTTAGTGCTACATGTTCAAGATGTCTGTATGGTACCTCTGCTCCATCTTTACTTCCCACGTCTTCTTCCATCGCCGTCTTGCCATCTTTCAGTAAACACAGGGTTTGAGTTTTCACCCCCAGCCCACAGGTTGCGCTGCAGGGGGAGCCGTCAACAATGACCTCCACCAGCACTTTATCCTCTTCGTCCTCCAGGTCAACTGAGGTTAGAGGATGGATGAGGAGGAGGAGGAGGAGTAGGTGAAGCCTGACAGTCACATGTTGCATTTTGATGTTTTAAATCTGTAGGAAATAAAAACGTTTTCCGCTTAATGCACAAAGTATCAAAGACTTTTGTATTCTAGGTAACATGTTATATTAAAGATCCCCTCCAGACACATATTACAGCATACACAAATAGTCTGCTTGGAATAATAATGTGTCTGATATGTCTCTCTTTATCTGTCTCTCTCAGCAGTATTTCTCTCCAATATTTAGAATGATGTAACGTTACCTACAGTGAGATTAACCCTGGAAGACTGAGTGAAATAATTTTTTGTATGTGACATGTTCAAACAAGTAAGACAATGTCAGTAACTGCACTAACCCATACAACATACAGTAACTATTCAGTTAACAACTAACGTTAATACAGGTCCAGATGAAGCTGTCGGGAAGTCAAAGCGCACTCACCTGTTTGTCAAACCAAAGTGAAATACAAACTGAAGAAGTAAAAGATGATGTGATGATGAGTCCAAACTGTTGCATCTGCTGTGTCTGAAATATATTTTGAATTGAATGTTGTGTTGTGACAACCAGAGTTCCAGGCTGCAGCAGGTTCCCTCCTTCACAGTGTTAAGATACAAAGTGCTGGAAAAAGGTTAAAGGCCTCTTTGCTCTTTATTTTATTATTGTTTCCATCATGGTCATAGCTGTTAAACATTTGTTGATGATGTTTCAGAATGAATCTATGACATTAGATTCAACAATTTATAAACAAAAATGAATGAAATGACATACAATACAAATAAAATAAATTATATAACAATCTATTTAATAATAGCCTTATTCATAAACATTAAATGTATTGTTGGAGTCAATTTCAGGACACAAAATCTGATTTTAACCAGAAAAAGTTTCCATTTTGTGCATCCAACCTGTGATTGTCCAATAAAAGGGACATCTGTTAAGTCGGTTTATATTTTTTTCCAATGCAGTAATCTGGATGATGTTGCAGTTTGTATGATGGCCACCAGGTGTCAGACAAATGCCAGAGAGAGAGCACAGAAACCCACAACATACAGCACTGTACTGTAAAGAGACTGCAGCCTTTAGTTCATTGATCATGTTCTCAATTTAGCAATAAATCAATAAATTCCAATTTTAGGGTGTTAAATTATCTGCAGTAAAAGTGATCAAATAAACATACAGTGTAGAATATAGAGCAACAAGGTAATAATGATTATATGATTATAATGTTTAAAAAGTAAAATATCAAAGTCATGTTATTTTGTTAATCAGACCACACACACACAACACAGATCCACTATTTTCTAATCCGAGTCCAATCCATGTCCAGGTATGATCATCACATTTAAGTTTCCCCTAGTGTCGTATATACTTTTTCTTCTGTATTTGGTTGTGTTTTCTCTGCATCTTTCATAAATACTGCAAACATGTTGTTAAATTGGTGAAGGCGTTTTCTTTTACGTTGCTTTTACGAGCTCTCCCAGCCACTGAAATAAACACTAGTTTTGTATATTGTGTAACATGAAAGTTGTATTTATAGTTGGACTTTTTGATGGCAACTTCTTGGTTATGACTTGGATGTCAAGGACCCACTTTCTTGGTCCATTGCTCCCACTAATAGAAAGGCTCCAAACCTGCCTGGGGTTTCAGGCCCAAACAAAGATTATGGCACTGTTAGCTCTTCTTGACAAACCCAGCCCATTGTCAATGTACTATTATGAACCCTACTTGGTTCTGCTACTGATAACTGGAAAAAGGACCAAGACACGAAAACACACAAAAGGAAAAACGCACACAAAGAGAGTCACAACGATGATTCAGCATCAGTGGAGGACTGCAACATGTTCAGTAGCCAGTAATAGTGGCCTAGTTGGCAGACCAGTAAAAAGCATTGTGGTCAACACCACATGTCTCAGTATGTGAAAAAGAAGAGTGAGGGCGATGAATAAGTGTGATGGAGGAGTGATGGGGGTGTGAAAGGAGGAAGACAAACAAGAGATATTGTATAAGAACAGGTGGATGTGGAGGAGGAGGTGAAGTAAGAGTGGCAGGACAGCCCATCAGGAATTACATCCATATTGGACATCTCATCATTTATCCGTGTCATTTGAAGCAAGGTAATGTAATTAAATTTTATTTGTATACCGCCAAATCATAACAGAAGAATCTCAGCACACTTTTCAAATAGAGCAAGTCTAAACCCTACTCCTTATAAAATAACTCACAGAGATCCAAAAATTCTCATCATGAGCAAGCGCTCGGGAACAGTGGCAAGGAAAAACTCTTAGGTTAGGTTCAGATGAAAGTAACCTAGCAATGTGTTGTTTTTGAAATCCTATCCTATCCTAAGTGGAAATTAAACACACTGACTTGGCATTTGCGGTGTGAGCAGTGGCCCTCTTAGGAAGTGTTAAAAAAACACAGCAGTGAGATACATTTGTCTCAAAAACCCTCAAAATCAGACCAGCATTCTTTGAAATACTGATTAAAACATGAAAAACAAAAAAAAAGTGTGGCTCAAGAATGGACAATTGATGCAATTTCATGAAGTCTAAGTCTCCAGTTTTCCCTAAACATTCTGTGAGCAGCACCAAGGACATTGTGTGTGATGAATGAAAAGTTAGAGAGACATCTGCCAGTCTACAGCTCCTTTCATGACTTGTTGGCGCCAATTTCAAGCCATGTAATGTATTTTATATTTCACATAATGTGGCACAAGAGAACGGACGGGAGAAACTAATCTGCACAGATTCATCAACTGTTTCAGTTTCCTGTTTCATGAAGGTGTGGTTTATGACGCAGAACGATTTATGGCATTTGGCAACTTCCTTCTTGAAAGTAAAACTGATAAATTTGAATGTTGAGCTACACGGGGAGACAGCCAGCAGTGTCTAGAGTTATTCTTTAGCTATGGTTTTAGGGTTACGGTTTATGGTTTCTCGCACAGGGTAGAGAAACAGCTTAACCATACTTATCTTATTCTTTTGGGTTTAGAAACCAGGAAGTTTACATTTTAAGTGGGTAGAGACTGAAAGGTAGTTAACATGTTTAGCAGATGCAAAAAAGGCTCAGGTAAAGTCCAATCCAGGTGGGTTATGGTGGAGTATTAGTTTAAAACAGCTTTGCCTCATGGATTTCCTCACATGACTTTTGAACTTTGAGCCGTTGGCACGTGTTGCCGTCCGACAGAGGACAGAGATGACCGAGCACCTGATGAAAATACTGATTGTTGGTGATGGAAATGTTGGGAAATCCTCCTTTGTGCATCGCTATGTGGACGGCCAGTTCAACAAGACCTACAAGATGACAGTAGGAGGTAGGACTGCTGAAGTTTATCATTGTTCTGTGGTTTGGATTGTGTGTGTGTGTGTGTGTGTGTGTGTGTGTGTGTGTGTGTGTGTGTGTGTGTGTACTATTTCATTATTGCTAAACTTTATACCTCCAGTTCTAGGGATTTTTTTACACTGTCGGATCATTGTAAGGTTTGCATTATCTCTGTATAAGCTGAAAAATGTGACTCATAAAAAACCCTTTTAGAACTTTTCAAATCTTATCCAAAATACTTTGTCAAACAGGTGAGCCCTTTCTAACATTCTTCCTGTTTTATTACCAACAAATCCTCATGATAAATCTAAAACAAATAGTCCTCCTCCCAATACTTTATGACTGACCCCTACCCTCCGACCCAAACATTTGCATGTTAGCATTGTCAATGTGAGCATGCTAGAGCGCAGACATTGAACTATGTACAGCCACACAGAGCCACTTGCATGGTTGTAAAAGGTTTATTATGTTCATAAAACAGCTGGACACGGTAGCCTTTAGCAAAGGGAGTAAATGGTGGATTGGTTGGGAACTATTTCCACCCAGAGATTACTGTAATATACTCCTGGTGCTCTAGCGATTAGATGCTGTATGGGGGATTCACTGATCCCAGCATGTTCTGCTTTTCAATGAACTGTTCTGCAATATTTGCTGTGGTATGTTCTGCAACATGACCTGTTTCACCAAGGATAGTTTGAGTAAAAATCAAATCAAACTTTCACTTCTGTTTTAGTTTTCTCACTTCTCACTTATTTAACAGCAATTCACTTCTTGTCTTTTTTCTGTCTCTAATATTCTGTAATTGTCTAGTGGATTTTTCTGTGAAGCTGCTGCACTGGTCGGATAAAGAAAAAGTCAGACTACAACTGTGGGACATTGCAGGTACATAACATCTTCCAGGAGATATTTATGAAGTGGATGGATATTTGGATGGATGACAATGTGAACTCTGTATCCTCCATCCAGGCCAGGAGCGTTTCATTTCCATGACCAGGGTCTATTATAAAGGCGCGTTGGGCTGTGTCATCATGTTTGACGTCACCAGCCCGTCCAGCTTCCGTAGCTGTCGCCATTGGAAACAGGACCTAGACAACAAGGCTATGCTGCCTAATGGACAATCCATCCCCTGCATCCTGCTGGCCAACAAGGTGAGTCAGAGTATTTACTGTAACTAATGAATGATTTATCATGAAGCCCTTTTGGCTTAGTTTTAAATAAATGAGCATTGTACTGTTGCTTGATGGATTAACACTTTCAGCCTCAGTGAACCAAATGAATAAAGAACCAGTCTTTTTAGATTATTACAACATTATAAATAAAAGGTAAGGTTGTTGTGGTTTAAAAGAGCAATATTTTTTTAAACCTTTTAAATTTAAAGACTTAAATTGTCTCTCTGCAGTGTGACTTAGCTCAGCGGGTTGTGTCAGCAGACAGCATCGATAGGTTCAGTAAGGTCAACGGCTTCATTACATGGATGGAGACTTCAGTCAAAGAGAACAAGAACATCGGAGAGGCTATGAGGTAACTCGAGAAGAGATTATAAAAACAGTTCAGATGATGCAGTATGGATAAAGAGGTTGTGTCCAGTGTATTACGTCATTTTTTTACCTCCAGTTTCTCCAAAATGTCAGACTTCATCCTATCATGTACCAGTCAATGTACACCCACTAAAAGTGCTTTTTTGTGTCACTGACAGGCTCAGATCACCTGAGATTTAAACTTAGCTTGCTTCCTATTTGCCTTCATTATAAATGTTAACAAATTGTTGTTTGGATGACTATCGACCACTTTGTGAAAGCTAATGGGGATCCAACTTAAGAATAAAGAATAAAGATTGTTATTTTAAGTGTCTGACATTGTGCAAAGGATCCCTACAGAGACAGACCTTTTGTTAGGTAGCCACCAGACTCCAGACACAAAAAAAGGTCATTTTATTGATGCCATTGTAACGCTGACTTGTAGTAGACAGAAAAAGTCACTTTGTTAGTCTTTCCACATTTTTTTCCATTATCTTTTTCAGCAATCACTAGCTCTGGTTTGGTTGAAATGAATCCTCATTCACATGCACTTACATGTTCTGTATAAACAAAGCAGAGACCGTCTCAAGCCTGGGAACCAACACAGGGTGACGTCATTTTCTGCTCAGGATGCCAAAACCTCACTATATCTTTACAAAGCAAATATTTGTCAAAGGTCCAGTGTTTAGGATTTACTGGAATCTTGTCGTGTAGTTGCAGATAGCAACTCCCTTGTTTCCTATATTCAAGTGATTATACACTAATAGATCTTCCTAAATGTTACACACTGGACCTTTGATGTTTTAAAATCTATATTTCATTTAAAATCTACACTTGTGGTTTTTACCCAACGCTTCCCATATTTGTCAGATTTCTTCTTTTTCTCTTGTTTTTTTAAATCTTTGGCCAAAGTCTGCACAGATCACAGACTGGTTTACACTAAGAAACAACAAGGATGCGTGGGTAGCCTTTGTCGTCATTTACAGGCAAATGGAAAAACGTGCAAGACAGTAACATAGAGTGTACTCAGTTTTTTCTTAAAAAACTCATGAGTGACGCATGAGATGTTGAAGGTTGGCAAAGGCAGGAATTGAGTGATTCTGAAAAAGTAAGAGCATGGAAACAATAAGACAACTGATAATGGACACAGGCTGCTGTGCATCCTGTTAGTAAAGTACTGTAAAAGTGTAGCTTGACATGTTTGGGAAACTAATACCGCTGAGATAGACGCCTATAATTTAATTGGCTGTATAACTAATAGCTGGACCTATGTTGATGATTTATAGAATTTACATTTCACTTAAAGTCACAAAATCTGTTGTGTTTCAGGAGGTTGGTGCAGGAGATTTTGTCAGTTGAGTCCAGTCTGGACCCGTTGGAGCCAGGACCTCAAGACAGCACTTATTCCCAAATGGACAACAGCAGAGGAGGAAGCTGCTGCTGAAGCACTGCTTTCACACTACAATCGCAGGGACAAGCAAACACAGCCAGCGCCTGTTCATTAGTTGTTTGAGGTGCCTGAGCAACTGAGCAAGGCACTTCCACCTCAAGTACTTAGTGCGGCTGTTCGCTAATAGGAGGAGGCCAGTGGAGACATCCTAGATGCTGATGTAAGGCGGTGTATTGTTTCCAGTACACTAATAATCTTCCCCAGATAACAAATAGTAAATGATAACAGCTATCTATCTATCTGTTTTGAGCATCCAGTGACAACTTTGTTTCTGCTGAGCCAACACATTCTCAGCAGGGCATTAAATACCAGCATTTTGTCACACCCCTCAGCGTCTCCATGCAGACACAGAAGGTACCCCTTAGCGCCTGTTTGAGATGCAGTGGGTTGTCATGTAACTCCATTGTAACAAGAAGGTCAGTGTGGGGAGGTGTTTGGGGTAGATGGATGGGTCAAACAAACACTTTCAGCCAGGAGACCAGGATTTGTGTCCCTTGCAAAACCAAGTTAGTGAAAGTTTTGTTTCATAATGCTAAGTATGTGATTTCCGTCATGTGCAGTAATGGCAACATGTGACTAACCCTAACCCTTGCATCATGCAACATATTTATTTTAACGAAAATTATGATGTAACCCTATCTAACCAAGTAGTTTTGTTGCCTAAACTGTGACTGTTTCACAACATTCACTACATGTTAAAAATGTGTCTTAGTGGAAACAAAAGGTGCCCTTGAGCTTCTGTACTTAGGGGTGTGACAAAACAGCATTGGTATTTCATGACCTGGGATAAGAAGGTGTTGGCTGAGCAGATCGGTGGTGTTCATGTGTGGGTCTGTGTGGCTCTAAAAGGACACTAGTATTAAAGTAACACACACTATCTCACTGTTTTCAGGGTATGATTAGAAAATACTTGATGATACTCATGGGAAAGCAACACCTCCGGTTTTACTGGCACAAAAGCCTAAATAAAAATTTCAACTTTTCTAGCCCTTTAACCCCATTTTCAGGACTATACTACTATACTTTATGTATGTATGAGTACGTCAAACCTTTTTATTCTAACCTTTAAGAGTGTGAGAGGAGCTCCACATGGATAAGATGTATGTGTACTGAAAATGTATGTCTTAGAAATCTCCCACAACTCTATCTGCAAATCAGCTGCCCCACATCAGGTCCCAACTCGAAGGTTAAGGAAGTAATGGACCTTCCATCCCTTCAGATTTGGTGTGAGTGGTATTCTGTCAATGATGTACATAATTATTAAACATTTTACAAACTTACTGGAATTTTCATACTGTATATTTTTAGATATGCAGCAGCAGGAACAGTTTAAAGAAGAAAAGGAAAACTGGATGGGTAGCACTTGCAGCGATTTATGGCAGAACAGACAGATAAAAGAGCGTCACCTACAGAAACTTTAATCTGCTTCAACATACAATCATACTGTTTGACTTACATCTCTGAGAAGAGTACACAAAGACTTTACAGACAGCAACTGTTCAACTGTTGTAATTTGGGTGATGTAGAGAGGCAGACAGCGAGGACAAGGAGGAGAGAGAGGAATGAAGAGAAACAGAAGGAGCAGAGGGATGGTGTGTGTGTGCTTATTTAATGGGAGGCCTCTTGGTGTTAGAACGAGGTGTGGAGCGTGTTCAGTGACGCCGCCAAGCCACCTCCTCCAACAGGCTGAGTCAGATAGACACATGGCGTCCCCGTGCTAACAACAAGGGGTGTGTGTGTGTGTGTGTGTGTGTATGCACCTACACACCTACACACCATTTGCCTTACTGTGTGTGTGTATGCACACACACACAGTAAGGCAAATGGTGTGTAGGTGCTGCTGTGTTTGTGTGTGTTTTTTTGCACATGGCTGTGAATGTGCCTCGGAGACGTCAAGAACTCACACATATCCTGTCAACATTCTGGTTTTGGTTTGTCAACCTCAGCCTTTAACAGCATAGATTTGTGAGTAAAATCCCGCTGTTTTTAAGTCCAACATAGTCTTGAATGTTTGCTGTTACAATGATAATCAAAAAGAAAAAAAGTAAAACTCCATCTTCGTTATTGTCAGAACTACACCCATTAACTATTACAAAGAAATCTCTCTGTTGCAGAGAAAAGCTCCAGTTAATTCCTAATTCAAGTTTTCTTTTAATGATATCTTCAATGTATCCACCACAGAAATATGGTAGTGTTTTGAATAATCTAATGATATTATAAGTATATATCAGTTTAAATTATTTTATCTTGTTTATGAGAAGTCTTCTTTTCAGTTTGGTATGACAGATGGTCACACAGCAACAGTCTACATACATGGTATTCATTTTGTTCAAGTTTCAAGTTTGTACAGTTGGGGTTTCCTGATTGAAACTTGGAACATCAAATAAATGAGATTTAGGATATGAAACATTCAGCATGTGGCTCATTGTCCATGGAGAAAAATAATGGGACTTTTGGAAACCCAAAAGAATTCTTTCCAATCCACGACTCTGTAATATAACGTTAAGTGAATTTTAAAAGCAACCCAGTTTCGTAAAAGATTGAGTTGGATTTTCTTTAAACCTTTATTTATTCTGGGAAGTTTAAATTAGAGCCAACATGCACAAACAAATCTTGAAGCTGTTTGACTCTAATGAAACAAATGAGGACAATTGAGAGAAACAGGTGGAAAATAACAGGAAGATCCTTTTTTTACTCAAATTCAGACACTTTCAACTCATGCAGACTCATCTCTTCCTCAGTTCACAGAGCCTGAAGTAAATCTGCACCCATTTGCATCAGTTCACTTATTTCCAATGACTTTGTATGCAGTTGTAATGTCGCTAAAATTCACTTTGTGTTCATTTAAAACACATTTTTAGAGACCTAACAGTGTGGTGTGGTGAAATGTAAAGAGCCACTTCCTGCTGAAGCATGAATGTAAGTGAAATTTCAACCTGTCTGTTGGAAATCTAAGATATTTTGTGTTTAAAGGTGGTATTGTGACCTGAACGTGATGCTAGAGAACCCGAAGCGTGTGATACACACCAGTCCACTGTGGCAGTGTCACACTTTCAACATATTCTCATTCTGCTGGTAAGATAGACTTTCAAAATAAAGCTTGCTTAATTAGGTTTTGGCACGAAAACATTTCTTTTTAGATTTGGAAAAATATCGTAAGTTACATTACATTACATTACATTAAGTACATTACATAAGGAAAGTAAGTCAAATTTGACTTTTGACATCACACTGGACTCAAACAGCAGCCTCCTGGGTGAAGTCCTGTGTTTGATCCATCCATCCACCCCATCCACCTTCCTACCTGGACTTTGTCGCTCTTTATACTGCACCGTCTATTACGCGCTTTGAAATGAGACTGGGCTGCAGGGGGTGACCAAGCAACATATGGACAGAAAAGACAGATGGACATAGCCACAACAAGGGCAACCCAGTCACACACACACACACACACACACACAGTATTTTTGCACTCCTGTGGGGGATTTTCTGTCTCTCTATGTGTAGGCTTCTATTCTTATCACTGAGTTGGAGGAAGGCAGAAGCTCTTGGCCGTGACTCAGTCATCCACAAATGCTACAATTCTGGAGAACCCTCAACCAAACGACCGGATGTTGGACAGATGGACATTTTGTCAATGTGCCTATTTGTCAGGATGTAATAGTCACTACACAATGAGTAGGTCATCGTGCCCCATCATGTTGTTTTTCCCTTCCTCTCACAACATCCCAGCGGTTACAAGGGCATTTCAGCAGGACTCATTATATGTAAATGGAAACACTGGCTGCTGCAGAGAGAACATTGTGGAGCTTTTCAATGCTGGAACGTTCTCTCTGTTCATGTGTGCCAGTCTCCAAAGTCCAGTGTGAAGTGGAATCTAGTGCTGAGGTTGCAGTTTGCTACCAACTGAATACCCCTCACCTCAACCCCCCTTTCCAAGCTTGTAGGAGAAACTACGGTGGCCACGAAACTCACAAAAAAGTTTTGGTTTGTCCGTTCTGGGCAACTGTAGAGACATGGCGGTTCAGCATGGTGGAAGAGGATCCGCCCCCTCTGTAGATATAAAGGGCTCATTCTAAGGTTACAACATTTCATACTGCAAGAAGTGGAGTTTATTTATTGCTTGCCAAGTTATATTTGGCCTGTTTGTTACCAAATAATAAAAAATTGGAATTTTATAATCATCTTCAATTGGAAATGTTGATTTTTTTTTTTTACTGTATCTATTAATATTTGTAATAAGTATTATGAGTGACAGTACCTTTAGGTTTGTAGAGTTGGTGGTTCAATGAAGTGAGGAAGCACCATACCCACTGGCCTGCATTAACATATGCATACAACGTGGTTGCCTCAGCTATACTGATAAATGGTACGACGACAGATCGCGGTATTCTACTACGGCTGGGGGGGTGACAGGTTGTATCTGTGGTAACTCTTTTACGATTCTGACTTTAGTTTTTTCAGTAGCTGTTGGCAAAGTCCATTTTGATTTTCTCTCGTCCTTTTATCTTACAAACTTACAACAGCTCAGTATCACCTGTTACCTTGCAAGGCAGCTGGACTCACGAGATCACGAAGTAACAAAATCACATGAGAATCCATCTTGCCAGGCTTCAAGCTGCACACTTAAGTCCGAACCACAAGTGGTTCAGAGCAATCAGCATCCTATTAGGAACTAATGGCAACAATGCATGAGCTACACACGTGGTTTAAAGCTAGGTGTGTGTTTGACTGTTTGCTCGAAAACAAAGAAGAGGTTAACGTAGCTGCTGCCAGCATCACTGATATCAGAACTGGAGATTATCACTTCACTGAAAGAAGAGCAAAGAACAGCACCGAAGGCTTTTTTTATTTTTATGGAAAAGATGTTTTTGCTCTTCTAGACTGATGGTTCATCCAGTCACCTGCCAAGTATTGGCGTGCCCTTTTCCAGACAGTGTCCAACGATGATTTCCCAGATGGTTCTGTGTAACAAATCATATAGCGCAGTAAGGTTATATCACCTGTACCTCGTCACCTAATCAGAGGACTTGGTCACATTACAACAACTTGCCCCTTACTCCAGATTTTAAACAATCATTGTCTTGGATCATGGGTGCCAGACTTTGAGATTTTGTCCAATCGGATCTGTGGACACTGCAGATCTTTAAAAAGCAGCGCGAGGCTTTTGTTCAGTTTGTTTTTTTATGTCACAAGTATGTCTTTGTTTTTATATCTTTCCATTTTTATGCTCTTTACCATTGTTCTGATTGTGATGTCTGCTCTTAAAAGGTGCTTTTGCTTACTGTCTTTGTAAGTAAGGACAAAATGGAAGAAATTGAAAATATGATTTCTGGCAGCTGAAGCTTTAAAAGATGTGGCAGTTCCCCCTTGTTGCCATTTGGGGCCGCCATTAAGCATCAAGCCTTAAGCTTTAAGCATTAAGACATTAATGATGCTGATGCTAAGGAACAACCATATGATGCCAAAGATAAAAAGCATATAGCATAAAATGAACAACTGAAACACTGTGATCTTTTAATTTTTCCTTCAATCAGATTAAAATTGATCTTTATATCTGGTTTTATTAATGTTACTCCACTACATCCCACATTTATTTAGGGCTTCATTTCTTTCTTTCCCAGTAAACATAATGGATGATGACAATGAGGTCTGGCATCAGCACATCTCTATTCCCGGCCTCACTGCTTACCAACCGTGACGCTCGGAAGCAACAGCGTAGGAGGCCTCCCACCAGCTCATGTGGGCTGACTGAGTGCCCTCTTTCATATCAGAGGTGTCTTTTGCGCTAAGCAAGAAAGCCATAGAAGGAACTGTTCTTCCTGTGTCGTGATCATTTACATAGTCCACCAGAACATGTGTTGCTCCCAAATGAGTGTTTATTTCATCCTTTTTTTAGCACATTTTTCACATGTTGGCTTTTTTCCTCCAGTCTATTATCTTGATCAATAGGCTAATTATCACCTGTATGAACAATATGTTTGAATTTGATCCCTTGAGTTCATGTTGTGTCTTTAGCTGCATCCAGTGGTGGAAAGTAACTAGGATTTAGTCTAGAGCTGTCCTTTATAAAATACAGCACAGTGTAAGATTAAACCCCTTCTGTACCTGGTTTCAGATGTGTATTAGTTGTTTGCAGACATTTCTTCTGCAAACTTCTCAGATGGTTTGATTTACATCCCATTATTTCATAGTAGGCCTACTTTTACTTTTGATACTCTGAATATATTTTGGTGATAGGATAAGTAGTTTTGTAAAGGATCTACCACCACTGGCTGCACTAGCATCATACAGTCATAAGGACAGATACTAACTGAATGAACTATGAGTTTATAGGGGAAATCAGATGAGACCAAATGAACCAGACATTCATTATGAAGTTCTCCAAAAACATCCCGTGATGTCGAGAAAACAAAAGTTGTTGTCTCATTATCTCAAGAAATCAACTTTTTGTTTACTCAAAATAACAAGGTAATTAACCTGTGATCTCGAGATAAGGAAGAATTCACTTCTAAGTTTATCACTTCAAAGAAAACTCTTAGTTCTTAAGGAGTATTGTAATAAGTAACATTCATTTTATTTCAGACGTTGTCCAGCAGGGTAGCTTTAGTTTTACTAAACCGTGACTTATACAGATGCAGGTGGAGGAAAAGGTTCCCCGCAGATGTAAAATACAACACTTCAGCAAAAGAATTTGCTGATTTTGCAGCAGTAGCGTCAAACCTCCCCGAGGCCTTGAGACGAGACGTCAGCACCTTGAAGGAGTCGCTCAAGGACCCTTCTGACCCTCCTGGAGTAACGCAAGCAAACAAACACTTGCATTGTGGATTACGTTTTACATTTTTATGACTGAATTGGATAATGACGAAGAAGACACATTATCTGGATCATCCACAGCTGTAGCTACTCAGATGAAGGTTGCATGACTTAAAGTTTATCTTCCTGCTTAAAGTGAAGTAATGCAGTGATGTAAAAGAGTTTCCACAAATCAACCATTGTTTTTTATTCCTTTGTGTTTTATTCTTCTAAAATACTCATTTTGATTTGATTTAAATTTATTTTTATTTCAAACTTTTTCTACAAAATTAGATTGTTCAAATTAGTGTTCATTACAACCACTTTTTGTGGGTGAATAATAAAATATATCAATTGTGATTAAAGAAAAGTCTGATGATTATTATATGACAATCTGTCAAATGACGCTGGAATAGAGTGACAGCAAATGGAGAAAGCCTCATTTTGGGGATTGTTCATGTCGGAATTCTTCCACCAACAGATCCTCGGCCATCTGCTGATAGCGAGTCACAGAGAGTAGGAGGCAGTCAGACAGACAACAAGTGGAGACAGGAAGAAGAAAAGGACAAAGAGACACAAAAAAACACACTGTCCAGGTCAAGTAGCTATGTTGCTGACCCACGCAAACATTAATAACCAGGTTAAAATAACCTGGATGCTTTCCAACTAACAGACACATGGTCAGAATTACAGATCCTAGTCCAACAGACGGTAAAGCTTAATTCCTTTGCTTTTAATTGAGGAGGACACCAACCAACACCAATATACAGTTGCTCAGACTATGCTAGATATTATATAACCATCTTTACACATTGTGCAATAGAATGTACATCAGTGTACACCTCCGGGCATACTTCTGCAGATGCCATGGGGTATGTGGAGAGCTTGTGCAGTAGCTCAACTAAAAGAAAAACAGAAATTATTATTTGAATTTTAAAAATATTGAATCAGAACAGAGTATATAAACTACTAGAACAGTGAGCAGAACCGCCTGCAGCTGACTTTCTACGTCCTGAACGTAGAATAGATAGGTAATAGGTAGTAAGGTGAGGTAATGATGGACAATGGAACAGAGGGGGAGACAGACTGGAGAAAAGAAACAAATATAGTGAACAGAGAAGAGTAACAGAGAAAGACCAAAGCGACAGCAGAGAGACAGAAGGAGCGACGTAATGAACAAGTGAAAGCAAATAAACGAGCGATGCCAAGAGCAAATGATGGCGGTGTTATCTTCCCGTTTCTTGGGCTTATGGATCTTACAATTATCTAACCATCAATATGTCACAAATGGGCCGTGATTCCAACACTCATATAATCCAATTTGTTTCTATCTATCTATCTATCTATCTATCTATCTATCTATCTATCTATCTGTAAAAGGTCTACAATGTAAGTATAACACAAAAAGTTAAGAAAATAAAGACACCAAATGATTTGCACATTACTACAGTAAACTATCCTACACTGCATACTCTATACATCACTATACAACATATATGGGCCACTGCATAGAACTATATCTATGTAACTATATCATAACAAAGAAAAACAAACTGTTATAATGAAATAATGAATAAAATATAATTATATTGATGCTGAAGGTTCTGCAATAAAGTACAGAAAGACCCTAAATACTTATAAATAATAAAGTGCTGCTTTTAATTTACCAGTATGGGTTGTATTGTGTGGAGGAATACAGCAGCTGCTGAATCAATCAATTTAATCAGTTTTCAATTAAATTTGTAAAAAAAGAAAAGAAAAGTGAAGGGGACTGAATACTTGTGTTTAATAATGAAATCAAATGGCAAAGGTGGGAACCACAGCTACAGAATATAAAGAAAAAACTAAAACATCACAGAGAGCAGGTTATCTAGGTTATCGATCAATATCAGCTTTTGTCTCCATTTCAGTTTCAGCTACAGTATATGTGCAGTCAGTCAGGAATGAAAAAGGCTGCATTGTTCAGAGAAGAGGCGCTTTTTGATGAAAGGATCTTCCGCTGCCACTTTCTGCCTTAGAAATGGACTTCCGTCTTTCCATGCCTCTCAAACGTGACCCGGCATCGTACAGGGGATGTAGAACCGACCAATGGGAACGCTGGATTTTAAGCACGTCGGGGTTCACGTTTGAAAGAGCTAGTGGTGCATTTATGGCTGCGGGAAAGAAGAAATATCCGACTTTTTTACGTTATATTACGATTCGTATAGGCTCTCAGGCGGAAAATACAAACAATTAAGCTTCTGTTTTAGCTTTACAACACCCTCGGATTATGTAATCACCGTTATTATAAAATAATTGGCGCCAAAGTACACAAAATGCTGTATTTCTTTACATAAAACAAAAAGGTTCAAAGTGAATGAAGGTCTTTCATTATATGTCATAGTCAATATCCCTAC